CCCGCCGGCGCCCCCGATCCCCTCCCCGCCTTCCTGGCATGGTGCGGGCGCGCCGGCGTGGAGCTCAGCCCGAAGGTGAGGCAGCGTAGGAAAACGGGGGAGGGGGTCCCGTCCCCCCGCCGCCCACCCCACCCCTTCCCAAAAATGTCCCCCCGCTGGCCTCTCGCCCCCAGGTGCGGCTGAGCCGGGAGGGCGCGGTGGCGGGGTACGGCATGGTGGCCACCGAGGAGCTGGAGGCGGGAGAGGTCTTGGTCACCCTCCCTCGCACGGCGCTGCTCTCCCAGCACACCACCTCCATCCAGGGGCTCCTGCGGGAAGGTGAGTACCGGCTGGGGCCCACCTTGGCCATGGAACGGGGCTGGGGAGGGGGAAGGCGAGGGAAGGGTCCTGCTGCGGGCACGGGGCTGGAGCTCCAGGGCTGTCAGCCAGCGGGTAGGAAAGGGGGTGGCCGGACAGCCCATCACTTCCTAAGGGAGCCTAAAGCCACGCTGAAGCGTTACTGGAACATCTCTGATCTTTAGGTGACAGCCACCCATGGGACGGTGCTTCCCTGGAGGCCCAGGACAGACGCTGTTAGGAAAGAGAGTGGTTCTTTCTGTGCTGAAGCGGGGTGAGGACAGCAAGAGGGCGTTCTGGCTCACCCATAGCTCCATGACAGCACCTTCTGGTTCAAACCCAAGGCTGGAGAGGTCTCCTAAAAGCAGAACTCCCCACCCTAGGAAGGAAACAGGCAGTGAGGGTTGTGGTATGGGGCTTTGGTTCACGGAAGATGTGTTTGGTCTCAAAGGAAAGGACCAAAACCTCAGATCAACTAACTTTTACTTTTTCTCGTTTCTGGTTCCTTAGCCCAGGAGTCCCTGCAGAGCCAGTCCGGTTGGGTGCCGCTCCTGCTGGCCCTGCTACATGAGTACACAGCCAGCAACTCCCACTGGCAGCCTTATTTCTCCCTCTGGCAGGACTTCAAGAACCTGGATCACCCCATGTTCTGGTAAGGTGACACTAACTGGGGCTGTGGGGTGGCCCAGTTTGACAGCTGAATGCAGCAGACATAGCACAGGGGCTGCTGACCACGAGTCCTGGTCCGATGTGGTCCAATGGCCTGACTCCATCCCTCTCTTCAGGGAACCCCAACAGCAGAAGGATACGGAGCTGTTGGAGAGGGGCCAGAGGAGGCTGTAAGGGCTGGAGCCCCTCTGCTGGGAAGACAGGCTGGGAGAGTTGGGGGGGAGAAGGCTCCAGGGAAACCTCCAAGGCTCCAGGAGAGCTGGGGAGGGACTCGTGATCAGGGAGGGGAGCGATGGGACAACGGGGAACAGTTTTACACTGAAAGAGGGGAGATGTGAGATATTGTGAAGAAATTCTTGGCTGTGGGGGTGGTGAGCCCCTGGGGCAGGTTGCCCCGAGAAGCTGTGGCTGCCCCATCCCTGGAGGTGTTCAAGGCCAGGTTGGACGGGGCTTGGAGCAACCTGGGCTAGGGGGAGGTGTCCCTGCCCCGTGCTCCCCTACGTGAGCTGGAACTAGTTACAAGCACAACCAGAAAACAAGAATCTGCAGAGCACGAGGAAGCTGAGATTTTGAAGGAGGGAGGAGGTTATAGCCCCTTCTCCTGGGGCAGATGGAGATAAATCTGCTGTTTTTCTTGTAACAGGCCTGAAGAAGAGCGAACAAGGCTCCTGCAGGGCACAGGCATCCCAGAAGCTGTGGACAAAGACCTGGCTAACATCCACCTAGAGTACAGCTCCATCATCCTGCCTTTCATGGAGTCCCACCCCAACATCTTTGACCCCAAGCTGCACACGCTGGAGTTGTACAAGCAGCTGGTGGCATTTGTCATGGCCTACAGGTGAGAAGTGAGGAGGGAGGACAAGCAGCAGGATCACAGGGAAACGATTATCGCCTGTGTTCCTTAAAGGGTGGCAGTTGCACAAGAACAAGAAGTTCTTGTTCAAGAAGTTCTTCTACAAGAAGTAGAAGGTGAAGCAAGGTGTGGAACGGGCCTGTCTTCATCTCCCTTGTCTTAGCTTTCAGGAACCTTTGGAGGAGGAAGATGAAGATGAGAAGGGGCCCAATCCTCCCATGATGGTGCCTGTAGCAGATATTTTGAATCACGTGGCCAACCACAACGCCAACCTGGAATACTCTCCCGTGAGTGCCAAGCAGCTCTGCCAGGCATCGTCACCTCCTGGTTCCTCTCGGAACAGGGCTGGCTCTCTGAACCCAGAGCAGCGCTGCTCACCTCCCAGGGCAGCGCGTCTGGCCCCGATCTTGTTAATCCGAAGCAATTCTCCTGGGAAACGATAGCTCCTCTTATAGCTCGGGCATGGGTCACGTGGTATGGAATACCTGCCCCCTGCCGGCTCCGGGGGAGATTAACCCCATCCCTGCCGGAACCAGGACAAACGGGCCTGTCTTCATCTCCCTTGTCTTAGCTTTCAGGAACCTTTGGAGGAGGAAGATGAAGATGAGAAGGGGCCCAATCCTCCCATGATGGTGCCTGTAGCAGATATTTTGAATCACGTGGCCAACCACAACGCCAACCTGGAATACTCTCCCGTGAGTGCCAAGCAGCTCTGCCAGGCATCGTCACCTCCTGGTTCCTCTCGGAACAGGGCTGGCTCTCTGAACCCAGAGCAGCGCTGCTCACCTCCCAGGGCAGCGCGTCTGGCCCCGATCTTGTTAATCCGAAGCAATTTTGCTCAACGTTTTCCCCCGCTGCATGTCTGGCTTGAGCTAGGAAGAGCTTAGCGTCATCTTGGCATCTTTGAAACAGCGTTTTTCTGAGCGCGGCAGGATCAGCGCAGCTCTGAGCGCCTCTTCTCTCCCTGCTTGCAGCAATGTTTGCGTATGGTTACAACACGACCCGTCGGCAAAGGACAGGAGATCTTCAACACCTACGGGCAGATGGCCAACTGGCAGCTCCTGCACATGTACGGCTTTGCAGAGCCGTACCCTGGCAACACCAACGACACGGCCGACATCCAGATGGTGACAGTACGCAAGGCAGCGCTGCGGCGTGAGTGGCAGCTTTGGGAAAGGATGGGGGGTGTGTGTGGGGGTCTCTGTTAAATAGGGATGTAGCGAAGCAGGGATCGAGGGTGTCATGAAAAAATAAGCCCATTCCTCAGCATTTTGGGTGCTGGGGGTAGGCGTCCGTTTTCTGCTCCCCTTTTCCTCTTCTCCATTCACCACCACTCCCTCCACTGCAACCCGAGTTGGGTTTTTGCAGCTGCGCTGTCTTCAAAACAGGTGCCAGAAGCGAAGCGGAGCAGCGGCTGGTCTCGGAGCAGTGGGACTTCTTGTGCCAGCTGGAGATGGTGGGGGAGGAAGGCGCCTTCGTGCTTGGCTGGGAGGAGGTGCTGACAGAAGAAGAGCTGTCCACAACTCTGAAGGTAAGCACAGCCAAGCGGCTGAAGAGCTACACAAGGAAGGGCTCAGACTGAAGCGTACGGCAGCTGTGCATTGGTACAGGTTGGGGGCTGATCTGCTGGAGAGCAGCTCTGTGGAAAGGGACCTGGGAGTGCTGGTGGCCAACAGGATGCCCATGAGCCAGCAATGTGCCCTGGTGGCCGAGAAGGCCAATGGCGTTCTGAGGGGGCATCAAGAAGAGTGTGGCCAGCACGTGGAGGGAGGTCATCCTCCCCCTCTGCTCTGCCCTGATGAGGCCACATCTGGAGTGCTGTGTCCAGTTTGGGGCTCCCCAGGTCAAGGAGGACAGGGAACTGCTGGAGAGGGTCCAGCAAAGATGAGGGGACTGGAGCATCTTTCTGATGAGGAAAGGCTGAGGGACGTGGGGCTTTGTAGTCTGGAGGAGACTGTGCAACCTGCTGTAGGTAACCCTGCTCTGGCAGGGGGGTTGGACTGGATGGTCTCCAGAGGTCCCTTCCAGCTGTGACCATTCTGGGATTCTGTGTGCAAACCAGCACGCGGAATGATTCGGTGAAAGGTTACAATCTTGTAAAGGCATTTAGGTACTAACAGTCCTGCGTGAACAGCGGTAGGGTGTGTGGTTGCCCATCTCCCCACCTTCAGGTACTGTTACTGTCGTCTTCCTCTCCTGAACTAACCACCCACAAGTACTTATGAACTGCTCTTGACCAGCTCTGGGGCTGCTGCCGTTCTAGAGAGCTTTGCACCTTTGCAGGTAGCAGCTGAGATGTCCTTTAAGACTGTTCCCAACACCCAGGTTTGCTGTTTGAATGTTCTAACCCCCAAGTTATTTGCGATCAGGTATCTACGCCAGTTTTACTCTCTCACCTTTAGTGCAGCTGAGGAATAATTCACCCGCTCCACATGGCCCCAAGACCACTTCTCCAGGGGAGAAAGCCTGATGTCCCCACACTGCCAGTGACTTGTCTCTTTGCCTGGGTCATTACAGGTGCTGTGCATGTCGGAAGAAGAATTCAAGGAGTGTAAGGAACAAGATGGCTGGGAGGACGACAGTGAGGAAGAGGAAAACTCCACCCTTTCTAACGAGGCTCTCGCCAGACTTAAAACCCCTTGCAAGAAGCTCCTTTACGACAGCGTGCTGCTGACCCTGGAGTCCTACGGGTCAGACTTGAAAGCAGAGCAGGACTTGCTAAACAACAAGGAGGCTTACGAGAAACTGAGCCGAAGGGAGCAGCAAGCTTTGCACGTGCGCTATGGACAGAAAAGGATCTTGCATCAGCTGCTAGAGCTGGTAGGGTAGAAACCTCACCACTCCTGGGAACGAACTGCCCGGAACTCTGCTTGGGAAGAGGTCAGGTCAGCCTCTGGGCAGCTCTTCTACAGCAGCGAGAACAGATGGCGAGATTAAATAGGGGCCCAATTGTCCCTCATACGGCATGTGGCTAAAAGCTGCCTCTACACAAACAAAATCTCCTCCACAGCAGCGGAGTGGTTTTGGGTGGTGTTACCTTACAGTGAGAGCTCTGGAGCACAACCACCACCTTCTTCTGGAGGACTTAAGAAAACCCAGATCCCATAATAGCTGCCGTAGGAAAACAAGACACACGCTGTCAGAACAGCAAGTGGGTTCCCTCATTTAGCATCTGAAATTTAAGGCAAGAACTGCTCCTTGTCCAGATGAAGAGGGCCGAAATCCAGCTGGTAGCTCGTAGCTTACAGGGGTTCAGAGCAAACCTCTGGCAGGTGGAGATGTGACAAACTCTTCACCTATATTTTGTTGATACTGAGCATTTTGAAGAGCACAAGCCCATCCATTTGGGTTTTCATGTAGGCTCAGTATAGCAAGGTATCTCCTTCTACCGCTGTAAAAGGCATTTCTGTATGAGACTACTCCGTAAAGGAGCAGATTGACAGTTCTGCGGCCGCTGTTGGCCGAGCATTCGATACACACCCTCCACTTCGTACAGTTCTTCCCTGCGCTTGGGCACTGCCCTGCATCACATTCAGCTATATTACTGTTTTTCTCCTCAGCAGTTTTGGCATGACAGAACACTGGAGGTTTGCAGGCCAAGCTCTATTTAATAAAGACGATGTTTCCTCTCCAGCCAACGCTGTCTACTTCAACAGGGTGCAAAAACCCCATCTAAAAGGAGGGGAACCTTCGCTGCTGGTGCAGTTAGCAGCGCTGCCAACAAGCAAAACCCACACTGTACTCCTCTACATAAAGGTCAGCTCCAACCCCCCTGCGCTGCTGGGGGCCAGGGTGGTTGAGCAAGACCTAGGGTAGCGTTTGTTTTTTAATATTCCCCTTTTACAGTGGTGTAATGCGGTGGCTGTTTAGAGTGCAGTGTGCCATCTTGGCTCTTCTCTTCCTACGGCAGACTAGATTTCAAGCTGGGCACGCGGTGGGTCGTAGAATGGTTTAGGTTGGAAAGGACCTTAAAGAGCATCAAGTTCCAACCTCCCGGCGAGGGTCAAAAGGTTAGTCTTAATTTCTTAAACACAGAGTGCATTACACCCAGGGCCTCTGCTGGCAAGGACACTGGTAGTCCCTGGGGAACTGCCACCAGCACCATTTACTTTGGCAGGAGCAGCTGGAGGTCACTTACCTGCCAAGAGAGGATATGAGCTGCAGTGGCCTCCATCCCACCTTGCATATCTTGGCCAAGTCCCATCCACCTTCCACCCCCTCTTTACACCGGCCTAACACTTCTTAAAAAGTCTGAAGGGAACCAGCCACGGACAGCAGCATTAGTACAGAACCAGAGAGACCTTTGAGCTTTTGAGTCATTAGGACAAGTCAATAAGCTCTGCATGTGGTTTGCTAGAGTTAAACGGCAGGAAAAAATCCCACGGCATCTGGACTAGATAAAGAAAAACTGGTTGCTGATAATTCTCCATTTCCTAACCCAATGCAGGAGGAAGAGTAAACTTGAGTTGCAATACCAGACCAAAAAACCTCCAACTTCGGAAGGTTCAGTTTCAGCACAACTACTGATCTGCAAAACAAATGCCAGGGAATTGTAGGAACTGGCAAGAGATTACTCCTTTACACACAGGCAACCAGAAAGCCACTGCCTAGGAACAGGTCACAGAGAGAGAATTCCCCTGGAGCTGCAGTCCACTGGCACAGCTGGCTCAGTGGTCCCTTGGATCTAGTTTTAACTCTGTGCAGCAGAAGCACAGCCAGGTACACAGTCCCGTAAACCTGAGCAGGAAATCCTGACCTCTCCACCCACACAATAGCAGTCAACTAGCTTCAAGAAACTAGTGATGTTCTCCAAAAAGAAAGCGGAGAAGCTTTATTCCCCGGTATCTGCCAGGTTGCAAGGCATAGGCTAAAGGAGTTTGCAGTATTAGCAAACCCCGAAGCCACCCAACCTTATTACAGCTAACCAGCAACCCTGCACACGTCTTTGCTGAAGGGAACGTGTTCACAGCAGGATGCAAGTCACGAGGAACGCAGCAGCTCTGCGGTCCGCGCTCTGCATCCCTCCACTACGCGCAGTCTCCCTTCCAGCACAACTTTGTCAGAGACAAACTCTGCTAATCAACTCGCAACTAAGATACTCCTATCCCCGCACCACTGTCCCTTCCTTCAAAGCAAGGCCCTACCTAGGCGTAATAATTCTCCCCTCTGACTGCACCACTTCACCCTAGCAAACAAGCCCAGTTGCTTTCAACAGGCAGCGCCCAAAACACACTGGGAAACTGGCAGGTTTTGGCTGGGTGGAACAGACTTTGAAAGACATCAACTGGTCGGGCAGGATGGAACTGGAGAGAATAAGCACAGTGGCACGTGCTGCATGTCATGACTTTAATGTGTAACTACAGTATGCATACATACAAGAAGTGGGAGAACTAAAGCCCAAGAACTAGAAAGGCTACAAAATACAACACATGGACCAATACTTTACAAAACATTCAAAATCCTTACAAAATGGGCTGTATTGGTCCTTTGGGTTTTTTTGTTTTGTCATTTTTTTGTTTTCTTTTTTTTAAATTTTTTTTTTTTTTTTTACAAACTTATACTGTGTGGTCATAGGGTGGGGGGGGTGTGGGGTGGGAAAAGGTTTAGATTTAACCCCCCACCTTCCAAAATTTACAAGTGTCAAAAAAAAAAAAAAAGAAAAGAAAAAGCTATAGGCCTGGTCTCTGGTTTCTTTACTAAAAACAGCTGACCCTCTCCCAAAGGGCCTGAGGTGTGTCTTCTCCACCAGAAAGGAGGCATTCTCTGCCTGCCACTCCACTTGCTGTCTGTCAGCATTTGATGAGGGTGGGGGGAAAGCAACACTGAACCTTTAACCCCTCCCTCACCCCTCCCTTACTCCATAGTATTCCCATATTCCAAACACATCCACCCCTTTTCTTTTTTTCCCCCCTCGTAAAACAACTTAGTGATTGAAAGGTCCCCCATCCACATAAAGAAAAATAAGTTACATAATATTATAACTGGCTTCTCAATATTCTTTGGGAGTCTGGGAATGTCAGGACAAGGAGGTCTGCCCCATACAAGTGCTTGGCATCGGCAGCTGCCCCTTTATTACAAGCTGGACAGGCACCAGTTACCCACCTGCCTTTTTTTTTTTTTTTACACAATTTGCACAAACCCAAAAGTCCAGACAAACGTTTCTGTTCCTTGTATTTACACTAGTTCAAAATGATATTCACAGCATCTTCTGAATTTTGGCCAAGAGTCAAAAAAAAAAAATTTGTTTCAAACTTTGGAACGTGCCCACGTAAGACTTTCACCCAGGGTCTGTGGCGTCTACCCGATCGAGGGGGCTGGGAAGGTCAGGAGGAGCCTTAGAGTCTTCTGTCAGTCGATGGGACGGAGACCTCCAGGCTGGCACGCTTACGACAAGATGCGGCTCATCTAACTGGCACCAGTCCCTTCCATTACTTGCTGGGCCTGCTTCTGCCCCATGCAGCACTGTGCAACTGACTGGAACAACCTGAGCACAGAGGCAAAGCAGCGTTAGGTGCGTTTACGGCAGCAAATGGGGCTTCTGCTATGAAGCCCCCAAAAACTCAAGGTGCCTCTCAGCCCCTCCTTCAGATGGATTTCCCCCCACCAACCCCTCCCCGTGACTTTTTTTTATGGGTAAGTTATACTCACTTCTCAATTTCTGGAGCACAGTGAACAAACTCATGGTTCCAGAACTTAAACGCTGGGTTTTTTATCAGCTCGATGAAAGTAATAAGGAGACCCCAGGGATGAGGCCTATTTACAATCAATCGTTCCAAGAGAACCCTGAAAGCCAAAAGTAAAACCAGTTGAGAGCTCAAAAGGTCCGAAATACACATGGAAGGAAAGTGAGAAGCCGAACACTGGCAAGTTCAACGCCTTCCCTCTCACCTAGTGATCTGCTCCTGGATGGCCTCGGTGTTGGCCTCCGCAAACAGGTACAGCATGGTGCAGCTGAAGTAGTGGGTGTGACTGTTGGGGTAGCGTAGCTGGTTGGCAATTGCGTTCAAGAAAAGGTACCGGCCTGCAAGAAGAGGAAACAGTGAGTACACGTGGTTTTCCTTGAGCGCACACATAAAGGAATAAAGCAGCAACTAGTATTGGTTAAGAGTAAGGTTTGTGAGCCTGCCTTATGAAGGCAGAAGGTACTCTTCCAGGCTGAGGGAGTTGGGGGGGTTCAGCCTGGAGAAGAGAAGGCGAAAAAGGGGAGACCTCAGAGCCCCTTCCAGTGCCTAAAGGGGCTCCAGGAGAGCTGGGGGGGGCTCTGGATCAGGGAGGGGAGCTATAGACGAAGGGAAATGATTTTACACCAAAAGAGGGGAGAGTTAGATGAGGTATGAGGAAGAAATTCTTTACTCTGAGGGTGGCGAGACACCAACACAGATTGCCCCGAGAAGCTGTGGCTGCCCCATCCCTGGAGGTGTTCAAGGCCAGGTTGGACGGGGCTTGGAGCAACCTGGGCTGGGGGGAGGTGGCCCTGCCCAGGGCAGGGGGGTTGGGACTATTTGATCTTCAAGGTCCTTTCCAACCTAAACCATTCTATGATTCTATGGAATAAAAGCAAGTGAAGATATGAAAAAGCCTTACCAACCCAAGCTGATGGGGCAGCAAGAATTCATTTCCTCTGTGTTAAACTTATTTCTCTTCCCCTTAATACCTTGAATGTTTGGTTTTAATATTGCTCCTGTATTCAGAGTTTAATATTCTAGTGTAGCGTTACTTACTGTCAGCTCACTAGCGGCTACATGAAATGATCTTCTGTATTTCTCATAGCTCAAACAGACAATCTGCTGTTAAATTCGACATCACATAGAAGCGTTTCCAGCTCACCTTCAGTGTCCAGGTCTACTGCCAGATTCTGGAAGATGTCCATGTGAGCTGAGTGGGTAATGGTGC